AGTTTCGGGTGCAAGTAAATCAATTAACTGTAATCCAATCACAGCAGATAAAAGATAAGAAAAGACTATATCAAAGTTCTGAAGAGAACCTGGAAGTGACAGGCAGCAAGGCAAAGGGAATCTCCATTGTCAATCTACAACATAGAGGTCACTGGATGACCGGTAGAGACCTACACATTTAATTTTGCTCAATATATATTCTATCATAATTTAGGCTCAGAAAACCAACACTGTTACAAGGTTAAAACGTTTCAACAACAACAACAAAATCTATTTTAAAAGATGTTGAGCAGCAATCCATGAACTTATTCATGGCTCTACTTGAAGGCTCTACTTCTCATTTACACTACAGTTTAATAGTTTAGGGTAAGTAAGATGTTTGTGAAATAGGGTTTCTATGCTCACCAAGATTTCATTTATTTGGTTACAAAAACAGTGACATTACAATTTAATATAATGCAAATATTTTCCATTCAAATATATTTTAAAATACTATTCATTCCCGTTATGGCAAAATTTTATTACTCCAGTCTTCAGTGTCACATGATCCTTCAGAAATCATTTCAATAGGATGATTTGGTGCTCAAGAAACATTTCTTAAGTATTATCAATGTTGGAAACAGATTTTTTTTTTCATTGATATTATTATTGGCAATTTAAAAGAGACACATTTATTTGAAATAGCAATATTTTATAACACTTTAAATCCATTCATGTCATTTTTGATCAACTTAAAGGAGTTCACCATTCTTTTTTGTTCACCAAAAAAAAAAAAAAAAAAAAAAAACTTTTGCTGATAATTTACTCATCCCCATGTCATCCAAGATATCCATGTCGGTCTTTCTTCAGTCGAAAAGTAATTAAGGTTTTTGATGAAAATATTCCAGGATTTTTCTCCATTTAACGCACTTTACTGGGCACAAAAAGGTTCAAGGTCCAAAAGACAGTTTCAGTGCAAACTGCAAACTGTTCAAAGGGCTTTAAATGATTCCAGACGATGAATAAGGGTCTTATCAAGGCGAATTTAAAAAAAATTAAATAAATAAATAACAAAGCTTAAGTTTTTTAAGCTCAAATGGTCGCCTTGCTCTGTTCTGTGATGCGCGTTTGTGACTGTCCTGTTCGAACTCATTCATGAAAATTAACAAATCTTTTTTTCGTGTCATTTGGTTCATTCAACGAATGAATTGACTAGGAAAAAAAAATGTTAATTTTGAACCCATCCTGGAAAGTTTTCATCAAAAACCTTCATTTCTTTTCAACTGAAGAAAGAAAGCATGGACATCTTGGATGACATGGGTGAGTAAATTATAAGCAAAAGTTGTTTTTTGTTGTTGTTGTTGTTTTGTTTAAGTAAACTACAAAAAAAAAAAAAAAAACTTTCTGACCCCAAATTTTTGAACAGTAGAATATTTGTATGCTCTTCCAGTCACCATTACTCAGAAAATCCAACAAAAACATTACAATGATGGGCCCATTTGTCTCAATATGCTCCAAATCATGTTTGACCTTGAGTCACACTTTGCCCAAAAAACCCAATGCACTCCAAAGTACACTAATGGAAAAAAGACATCTGACAGCTGAACACTATCACTTCATTCATGCCATGCTGCAATGGCTTCAGCTGCAAATGTCAGATACATATTGACTACTCTTTTAAACCAGGTCTTATGTGTACCATGATGGAAGCCGACTAAAAACCTCTCGAGGCGCAATAATTGTCATATTTGCATTTCTATATCTATGTAAATGTATCTGAGAGGCAATATATGTGCATTTCAAAGTTTTAAACTCAAACAAGAGGGATGGAAATGCAAAAAAATAGCTACAAAGAAAATAAAGTCACCCATGTTTGCTCTATTTTACATATAGAAGGTTTCACATTCCATATGTATACTTTTTATATAAACATTTGTCAATGTTCTTCGATCAGAAGCATTTATATGTCCAGTGAACCCTGTCTAAGCCTTTCACATGACAAATAAAGAACCATTTCATTATTTACTCACCCACATTTTGTTCTAGATATCCATGACTTTCTTCTGTGAAAGAATATATTTTGAAAAATTTGGAATCCATTGACTTTTCAATTCTGTTCTGCAGAAGATAGAAAGTCATAGAGGTTTGCAACAACACGAGGGTGAGTAAATTACATAGAAATCAAGTCACACGCTCATCTTAGCCACTTTATTTTAAGGATCTGATGTCAAACACTGCATTCAAAGGAGGGAAACTTTTGGTGTATGCAGCTGTATAAACAAATCCACTCACTCCTTGCCAAAGGCATCCTTCAGCCCTTTGGGAGTTGCATGCAAACAACAGACCTGTTTTGTAGTCTTTGCCTATAAAGTCTAAGCAAACAGACTGACAGGTGTTAATTTTCTTGGAACAAGTTATTATGGAAGGAAGAGATGAATAAGCAATGGTGTGAGAAAAACAAATGTTAGCAGGTACACACAACACTATTTGAGTGTAAGTGTGGTCTCGTTTTGAGAGAACCAGCTTGTGCTAAATTCTCTGGTGGGAGCTGTCCATGGTCCTATTTGGACCACAGCTGGGGATTACAACTCTAAGAGTCAAAGAAGAGCCAGACTATTACAGTCAGACTAAACATTTAATGTTCCTTTGTTCCCTCAGCACAAAATATGTCTAAAAGCCTTTGTTTGCTAAGGCGGATTTGGAGTCGTTTGTGAAGGCAACCAGCGGAAAAGACGCAATGAGCAGAGCTCGAGGGGAGCTGTCCGTGGTGCTGAAGTCTCACAGTACTGCGCTATCCACAATCTGCTATATGCGATTCCTTCGAGTCTTCTTAAAACACCTGTTGCTGCTCAGCTTACATATAGCACTGGACCTCAGCTTAATAAAGTGGTAGCTAAAAAGACACAAAACTGTTTCAAAATCTTTGCTTGAGTTTTGAGGGAGCTTGAAAAGTTCTCCCTAGCATTACAACATGTTATATGTTCAAACAAAGGGATTGTCCAAAACTTAACTGAACATGCGTCACGCTCGCTCTAACATGATGAAAAGATTTCTCTGCATGCTTTCAAATTCTCATGTTCAATGGAGCCTTACACCAACTTGCATCATGGGAATGCATCTGTTTTGTGACTCTGATCGACTGTAAAAGATTCTGGGCAAGGAAAATGGGATTGAGCCAAATTAGAAAAATTCTATGATGAAGAGTTGTTAGTCATTATCTTTGGCTAAAATATGAAAAGCATTTCATCTCCAGAGCTTCTGAGGTTGAGCAAGAGTACATGATTACTGGCACCCGGAATGACGACATATTTATTCCACATTAACTAGTTATTATCTATCTATCTATCTATCTATCTATCTATCTATCTATCTATCTATCTATCTATCTATCTATCCATCCATCCATCCATCCATCCATCCATCTATGGTAAGGTGACTAAGAGTAAATCTTTTTCACTGATGCATTGTACATTTTCCCCTTTAAAACATTTACAATTTTCGAACATTTCGTGCAAGTTAACCCTCTCTTCAATCAGCAATTTGGCAATACAGTGACCATAGAGCCTATGATAAGCTCAGCCATGCCCCAGTAGCTGAAGAGGAATTAAATTTGCATTTCCTCCCATCTAGAAAAAAGGCCCGTTTTATTTCACCAGTCATAGCTTATGCGCTTACACGAAAACTCTATAAGGCTTCCAAGATATACTCGGTTTATTAATGAAGCATGAGAGACTCCACACTGTGGAAGCGCAGCTATTCTGAAGCTTTAGTGCCGCTCAATGGAAAAAGTGGGAAACTGCTTGACGGCTTCGCGAGCGCTTAACTGGCTTATTCAAAAACGTTTCATTCTGCTCGTGATATTACTTATTCACGGAATTAAGGGGAAACACATACAATGTCGACCGGGTCTTTTGATTCGTTTACCAGCTTTCATTATCATGTGCCAACTAACATCAACTCCGAGCGAGGAAAACAATGCAGTTGAATCACAGTAGCTCGAGACTGTTGATTATGCTGCTGAATTAAAGGGATAGTTCAGTTAAAAAAATAAAAAAAAGTATCCTATATAGATTAACAAAAATTTGTGTCATATTTGCTCACCCTAATGTTGTTTCGAACCTGTGTGACTATTTGCTTGCTTACTGGAATATAAAAGGAAATGCTAGAGTGACAGTCAAAAGGGACACTAATTCTTTTTAATACGTCATGACACTTGTTATTAGCTAAATTCGAGTTGACACCAGTAGTACGTTACTCTGACTACAACTTCTATTCAAGGCAAATGGATGTATATTTGGTTGGGAACGCCACCGTATCAAGAAACGCAACAAATGACGATCCCTGGTATGATGACTTGGCTGTTGGAATAGAATGTTTTACATGAAACGTTATGGAAAAAATTACTGTTTAAAATAGCGCAGAGTCAAAGACCTGTTTTGTTGGCATGAAATCCCCCCCTATCTCCAGCCTCCACATACGCCCCCCTTCCTCCCAAACTCACTCATTCACTCTTGGCTCCCACACTCACGAAATCTTGCGCCACACACATACACACACATTTTCGAAAATGGTTCTTCGACATGTTTATACATTAACCCAATTATTCCTTGAAACCAAAAGTACCATGTTTTGCCCACCCATCCGAAAAGCCAATATGAGGTAGCCTACATGTTTTTTTAAAGCATAATGCAACATATTATGCCTACATGGGGCAGACCAAGGTTGGCAAATATAACACCAAATGCGCCTTGAAAAGTACACAAGGCTCTTTTACATTTATATACATTTACGCACAAATAAAGGATAAACTTGGCTACTGTGTTGACTTGTATGTTTCTAGTGAGTCTGCACCTTTGATGCATAGATCCACATCAATGAAACGTAAGACCCAACATTAAACGGCACATAATTGACAATAACAGCACTCCATCCACATGTCAAGCGTAAAAGGGTCGTATGTAGCCTCCAAGAGTGTCGCGCGCACGGCAACAGGACCACATTCAGCATAACGGGAAACTCACCCTTAACCGATGCAGCCAGCAGCCCCATATAGAAGAACAGCACCCGGCTCCAGTGATGCGCCTGTACTCCCACCTTCATTAGCGCAAAAATCCGTATACCATCCAGTTTCCTCGTCCCGTTATATGTACATCTGCAGTCTGTCCTCACGAGTCCCGTTCTGTCAGGATTCAAAGAGGCGCTCATGGTGGGCTTTTTCACGGTTATCAGATGGTTTTAAAAAGAAGATTCACTTGGTGTCGGCGCTGAGAAAAATCCCAGTGCATGGAGACTGGACCCTCGCAGCTGGACTGAACCATCTCAAGCGAGCCGCGGGGTGAGCCGATTCTAATAGACGCGTTTTCTCCTAAAAGCTGAAGAGCTGATAATGAGAACTGTATCTGGTCTCTTCGAGCTCACATTAGCGTTACAAACGGACAAAGTCTGCAACCGATTCAAATGGATGGTGCGACATATAGGCTATACGCCTGTGCACTCCCTCACACGCGCGTATAAGTTTGATTTCTAATAACTACAACGCTGATAATCCACGTTTCTGTCTTTCTCCCAATGAGTCACTATGAAAGGACAGCTAGGATACACTCACTGTCACCGCCCACTCGTGGAAGTGTGCAGCCTTCATCACTGTCTGAATCATTTCCAGGCGTGGAAATAATCGTTTAGGGATTTCCACCTCTGGCTCACTGTTTCAAGACTTAAGCTAATGAAAAGAAGAGCGCGACTGCAGTATACAAGCTTACAGCATCTCTCTCTCTCTCTATCTCCCCCTCTCTAAATAGCTCGCTCGCTCCATCACTCGCTCACCTTTGCAAGGTGTGCCAACAACACAAACACTCTAAAGTTTATGATTGTAAAAAATAATAATATAAAAACATACAATATAGGCTAATATATTTAATAGAATTAAGATAATATAATATAGGCCTAAGCAAGGTGAAATCAGCGTCACTTTACCAAAAAACCGAGATGCTTGGAAATTGAAAAAAATACGTTTTGTATTTAATAAAACGACTGAATATCAAAACCTCAGCGGTTATTATGCTGAACTAAATTGATATGCATTTAAACATGATGAACTATTGCAGAACTCCAAACTATTTAAAATAAATTTAAATGGGCTAAAAATTCTGCATAGCATGTTTTAATTATTTTGTTTTGTTTGTTGGTTTGGTTGGCCACGTAGCCTATTCACGCGCAAACACATTTGCGTCACGTTTCCCACATACATTTTCCTGACTCCCGTGCAGGTGACGTAAATGAATTAAAGCTGTTTGCATAATTGTTTTTGTTTATATTTGAAATTCGATTTTAAACATTCCAAGTAAGGCCATAAAAGCAAGAAAATCACGATCAGAAGAAATTGAAATATATCTAATTTTTGTTAAATTTAAAATGTCTTCAAGATCTTTTGATGAGTCATCTAAAACGAAACGTTTTTGGGACGCATTAGGGCCATTTCCCAGGTCAACGTGGATTCATTCCCACACACCAGAGGACAGTCGACTGGACAGAGCCTGCGGTAGAGTGTTGAAGCGCTCGATTCTGGTTTCCAGAGCGACACAAAAACACATAAAGACAGCCCCACACAGTAAGTTGTATGATAGTGTATGGTTATATGCCTCAATATGCGGGAGATAAATCTGTGTCTCCAATGAAGCACACCAGAGGACGATCAGGTGCTGCTTCACTTCGGAGTAAATCATGGAATATTGGCATTACAATATATTAAGAAATCAACTTTTATTAATCATCGTTGCATTAAATTTAAAAATTACAAAATTACAGTAAAAGCATTTATATAATGTTACAAAAAATATATCAAATTGATGCGGTTCTTGTTTCTTTTACAGCACTGTAGTGAACAGTTGACTTAACTTAAATTGTGGGAAACGGTTGCCTTAATTATTATTATTATTATTATTATTATTATTATTATTTATTATTTATTTATTTATTACTGAAAATTATTATGTAAACTTAAAGGAGTAGTTCACTTTTCAAAAAACTTTTGCTCATAATTTACTCACACCCATGTCATCCAAGATGTCCATGTCTTTCTTTCTTCAATCGAAAAGAAATTGAATGTTTTCATCAAAAACCTTTAGCATTTTTCTCCATATAATGCTCTTCAGTGGGAACCAAGCGGTTCAAGCTTCCAAAATACAGTTTCAGTGCAAACTGCAAACTGTTCAAATGGTTTTAAACGATTTCAGACGATGAATAAAGGTCTTATCAAGCTAAACGGTCGCTCATTAAAAAAAAATTGTGATAGTTTAAGTTTTAAGTTTAAATGCTCACCTTGCTTTATACTGTGATACACGTTCGTGACTCATTTTGACATCAAAATGAACGAATCTTTTTCCGAGTCAATTTGTTCGTTTCGGTCATGGAATGAGCCAAATGACTCGGAAAAGGATACTGAAGGATCATGTGACACTGGAGTAATTGTGCTGAAAATTCAGCTTTGCCATCACTGGAATAAGTGACATTTTAAAATATAATAAAATAGAAAACAGTTATTTCATATTGTAATAATATTACTGTTTTAACTGTATTTTTGAGCAAATAAGCCTTGGATAAGCATAAGAGACTTCTATCTAAAAGAAAAAGAAAAACTTACCGACCTCAAACAGGTTTTTTTTTTTTTTTTTTTTTTTTTTCAAACAGAAAAGTTTAAGGCTGCACTGATCATACATTTAAATAAAGCGGCATCATCTTGGCGAAACCCTTAAGTCAGTAATAATTGATTGAAGATGGGAAAAGTTTTTTACAAACTAAAGAGACAGCTTCCCTATTGTGTGAATTAGCACATGCAACATCCCGACATGGTATCCCATGCTAATAGTTCTGCCATCTGTCCCTGGTGGTCCATGGAAACACCTACCTCATCTATTTTAGACCACATTGCAATGGAAAGATCTCCTTCTGGTGTTCATTTGAACCTCACAAACAAAGCACTGCGCCAATGAAAATCATGAAATATTCATACCTGGAGACATATGCCCCATTTACTGCAGCAACATGCAAAGAAAATTGTCAGAAAGTTCATGTTTGGCTAATGGAGGGCTTGTTTACTTTTTTAAAACTATGTTGCACTTTTAGGGCTTTCAATGCATTCATCTTCACAACAATCATTTTGGCATGCCAACGGTGTAACGCGAATTCACAATGCACTTGCAGTTTGAAATAATGCATGCTCCTACTTTTTGAGGAGAGTGAGGCATCAAAAGTCGGACAAGGTCATGTTAATGACTCAGCATAACATGACCCAGACTCCTCTGCAAGGGCATGTCGATGCCGGGTGTCCACGTTTTCCTGATGATAGACACAGCCATGGTCATGAACCTGACAAGACTAAAGAGATCATATATAAGCCAGAAGGATGCTGACAGAAGCAAAACTGAGAAGTTTCTTAAACAAATTCAACTACCTAACCCGGCCACACTGAAAGACATCCCAGAGAGGCCCTCAAACGAAGACTTTCCTCCACTTCCCACTCTTGCCTCAACACAGGTGGACAGGCCACCACAGCAAGCTCCTGCCAGAAAAAGAGCCTCCTATAATGCTACTCTGCTAAAGGGAAGCCCAAACATCCAATTGCATTGTGGGAAACCACAGAGGGCTCAAAAACAAAATCAAAAAGAACATCCAAGTGTCAAAACTTATACCTCAGCCAAAGCAACCACAAAGATAGAAACACAAACAGCTCAGGGCACCATTGCCCAACCCGGTCCCCCCCAAACAGAAAGTGCATGCAGAGAAAAAGTTGTCCTGAATGGACAAAGTTCATTGCCAAGGTGTCCCTATCTACCGGTGTCTTCACAGCTCCAAAAGGCAGAGGGGCAGATAATACCTAAAGATCATACCTTTAAAGGTAAATCCACACCATTCTCATCCGCCATGTCTAGTAAAACTACAATCTAGACTCAAAAAAAAAAAAAAAAATGAACTAGGAAGGTTGTGCACTTTACATATTTATAGTTTACTTATAATAATTGTGTTTTTTTTTTACTTTAAATGTTTTTTTTTGTTTTTTTTTTCTATTAAAGGTCCATGTAATTGTGTCTCAGCTTAACAGTACAAAATCCTAATGTGTTGTCTAAACACAAACCATTTATGTTAAGTAAAACAATGTGTACATCCAGAGGGTGGCAGTATGGTGCGAGCCGACTGCCATTTTGCCCGAACTTAATTTTATTGTGTTCAATCTCCTTAAATCTACGAACATAAGTTTACTCAATCCGTTTTTGTCGGATTACATGATTGATTTGTGTTGCATTAACTGAAACTGGGCAGCGCTTTTAGTTCCCAGCATGCTTTGCATATGTTTGAATTAAGAGAAAATGCATGTTAAAATTAAGTGTTATTTTATGTTTTTGTTGAGAAATTTAGAAAAGGGGAAGACTTGATAGTGTGTAATAGTGTTTAATGTTAAATTATTGGAATTATTAAACCATTTAAAACCATTGTGGGTTACCATTGTGGAGAAGAGTGGAGCATTTTGTTTGGCTGTCGACTGATTTCATTATTTTATATTGCTTTGGAAGAAGGAGCATGTAAAACTTAGCATTAAAGATGCTAATATGTGCTACTGCTAACAAATAGCTAGCTAAAGCCTATCAATTTAATTAAATGTCACTGAATCAAATGAAACATAACTGGATGAATGAATATAATAAAATGCCTTTGAATCATGTCAAGAAGCCTTTAAAACTTAAATTGGGCAATTTAAAATTTATATAATTTCATTATTTTGAAGTTACATGAACAAATTATGTTTGTTTAACGTAATCCAGTTATGTGGAACCTGTTGACGAAAAAAAATAAAATAAAAATTATAATAATAATTAAAGCCAACATATAATTTTTTTGAGTGTAATTCAAAACTAAATCTTAAACCTTAAAATTTTCATTCATGAATGGTTGATTCTGATTGGTTGACCAGTGTTCTAAGGTGTGCAATTATTTTCCAGTAAACGCACATTACAGTTCCAAATCACTAGGCCGGTTTATTTCCATTATTTCAAAGGTCATTACAGCCTACAGCAGCAAAAGAAACAAAACCCCCAAAGTAAATAGATTGAACAATTAACAAACAATATGATTCAAGTCGACAACCTCTCCATTTAAAAAAAAAAAAAAAAAAAAAAGTTTAATTCATTATCTATGGAAAGTACGCTCTGTTTCTCCCGCTCTCACTCCCAGACAAACACACACACGTATACAGTATAGACTCACACATACACTTATGCACACACTGTTGAGAACCACAATGGTCCATAGTCAATTATTCCTTATAATAACTTTTCAGACTAAATAAAACGAGCTCTGGAAAAAGATCCACACCATAACCGTTGCAGCACCACATGACACAGTATAGCGTTTTGTTCCAGAAAGAAGCAGCATTTTTAAATGAATCAGTTGAGAGATTAAATGTTTTACTTTTAAAAACTGTCTTTTTTTGTTTATGCATCAGTGGATGCGTCCAAAATCTCACACTCTCAAGTAGAAGTCATTTTCTACATT